CCCCCCCTCTCTCTCTCCCCCTCTTACTCAGTGTTGTTGGGTTTTTTTTGTATTTTAGAGGTTTCACGGCGCTCGCAAGTGCATAAGGTCATATGAGCGCCAGAAGATTAGAGGTGTTACAAGAGAATAACAAACATAAACAAGAAGAAGGGGAGATAAGGATGATAGATGTTTGATAGGAAAGAAGGGGCAAACCACACCAGAGCACCCGCCAACCACCCACTCACTCAGTGTGTGTGTGTGTGTGTGTGTGTGTGTGTGTGTGTATACCATGTGTGTGTATAGATGTTTTCGTGTGCTTGTATGTGTGCGTATGTATGTATGTGTAGTGTGTGTGTGTGTTTGTGTGTATGTGCGTGCTTGTGTATGTGTATTTATGTGTGTTTATGTGTATGTGTATTTATGTGTGTTTGTGTGTATGTGCGTACGTGTGTATGTGTATTTTTGTGTGCACCCGTGCACGCGTACATATCCACCAAGCATTCCGGGCTTCGGTACAAGAAATGACCACGACATAACTAGCTGAAATACCATGGGTCACTACGTTCTTACCAGGGAAATGAGATTAACCCTGATTAAGTAATTCTTTTATGGTGTTTTGTAGTGCCGGTGAACGATTCACGCCCACAGTGAATTCCATACTACGTCTCGGCGCCCCCCTTTTCACAGAAGGGGTGGTTGGCGGGTGCTCTGGTGTGGTTTGCTTCTCTTTTCCTATCAAACATCTATCGTCCTTATCTCCCCTTCTTCTTTTTTATGATTGTTACTCTTTTGTAACGCCTCTAATCTTCTGGCGCTCATATGACCTTATGCAGTTGCGAGCGCCGTAAAACCTCTACTAAAATTTTTAAAAATTAATACAGAAGCTGCACACGTAATACAGTCAAAACTGTCAAAGACGACCACCCATTGTCAGTGCGTTTTAGTAAGAGTTTTACAGAACTTGCAGCACAATAAGGTCACACACGTGCTGAAGATTAGAGGTGTTACAAGAGAGTAACACACAAAAACAAAACAAACAAAATAAGGTGGGGAGATAGAGACAATAGATTTTTTTATAGGAAAGAAGGAGCAAACCACACCAGAGCAACCGCCAACCACCCAGGTTGTCAATGAGAGAAATGGACTTTTTAGACAAGTAGGCGTCTTACACAATGTCATTTCATTATAGTACAACGAACACAATGGATAAATAATTGGAAGTGTCCGTTTGTACAGGTGATTGTCTTATACAGGTGGCTGTTAAAGCAGGTTCGACTATTTATTATAATGATATCAATCAAGCCTGTCGTTAGCTTGATGCAAAATGTTCCGAGCCTATGGTGAACCAGTCAGTGTCGGTGCTTGCAACTTTGGGGACATTTTTAAAAGTCCCTGAGAGAGAGAGAGAGAGAGAGAGAGAGAGAGAGAGAGACGGTGCTTGCAACTTTGGGGACATTTTTAAAGTCCCTGTGTGAGAGAGAAAGAGAGAGAGAGAGAGAGAGAGAGAGAGAGAGAGAGAGAGATTTGTGTTTTTAGTTTTTTTTTTTGTATTTTTAAATGGACAAGGTACTACTAACTACATGACTGCATGCACATGTACTACCTTTTTGGCGGCTGCACGTATGGCTTACCGAACGAGGAACGGGATTGGCTCGTTACGGGCTGTAATGGTTTTTTTTTTTTCTTTGGTATTTTGCCCCCAAGGTGGGTGTGCGAACTTATTACCTAGTTCCTTCATGGTTGCTTCTTGCTTAGTTTAATTGTTCCTGTAGTTCTAGATCCGTGCGTTGCGGCATTGTGTTTGATATATAATATGTGGTAGTGGTCTTTTAATGGAGAGAGGAAGGGGAAGGGAGGGAGTGTGTGGGGAGATAGATAGAGAGAGAGAGAGAGAGAGAGAGAGACCGTACGGCCAGGCACACTTGCCCTTTGGATTTTACACTGGGTGTTTTGGCTCAACTAGAAATAGTAGAGTAGCCTATAGCTGGACCGGAAACAGGGCGTTAAGCTGGGGCGTGTTCATGTATATTGATCTGGTAGGTGCGACGGAAGGGTGTGGTTAACTGGCCTCTATTTCTCATGCTTACTGCTCCTTTTGCGCCATAACTGCTTTAAGATATTGATGTTGCAATGAAATTGTCTTAAACGGTCACTCGTTGTCGAGGAAAAAAGTCGTCGCCTCAGATACGTTGTCATCTTATACTGTGCCATTATAACGTAAAAAGAAGGAAAGAACGCAAGATGGGGGGTAGGGGGAGGGGGTAGGAACTGGCTGATTGTCTCATACTGGTGGCCTACAGAGTAGGTTCGACTTCTTTCTTTCAATCGTAGATCTGTGTGTTCATGTTTACAACTTAAAACTTTGAGCTCAGATTCAGAATGAGAGCTCGGTGAGGGGTTACTCGTTGAAGTGGGTTTTCTTTTTAATTGAATTTTAAAATGTGTAAGGTTTTGGTTTTGTTTATTTTTTTGGGAAACTAAACCTAGATGACAGCACTGAAATTTGATGATGGACTTAATCTCTAATCGAATGAGGGAAGAAACTCTCACAGGTCCCAATGACGATTAAAAGTTAATGGAAAGAACAGGCAATGACAGAACAGTTAAAGGAAAGAACTGACGATGACAGAAAAGTGAGAGGAAAGAACTGACGATGACAGAAAAGTTAAAGGAAAGAACTGACGATGACAGAAAAGTTAAAGGAAAGAACTGAAGATGACAGAAAAGTTAAAGGAAAGAACTGACGATGACAGAAAAGTGAGAGGAAAGAACAGACGATGACAGGAAAGTGAGAGGAAAGAATTGACGATGACAGAAAAGTGAGAGGAAAGAATTGACGATGACAGAAAAGTGAGAGGAAAGAACTGACGATGACAGAAAAGTGAGAGGTACGAACATGCTTAAAGAGCTTATACTAGAATGACACATGAGAAGAGCACAGAATCAAATCGGCTCGCATATTATATTATACGAAGTAGTTTCACCCTTTTTGTACTGAATTTTGGCCTGGTTGTTTTTGTTTTGCTTTTTAAAACGTATAGTTTGGGTTCACAATATAATAGTAACAGTCTTATGAATTAAGTCTCAGTTTTTTCAAAAATGACGCTCTGAATAGGG